ACGTTCACGAGCACTAGACTGAGGGGATGATGATCAAAATGCAGATGCGTTGCCATCACTGACCACTCCTCAGGGGTGACAACGCATCTGCATTTTGATTCTTAATTGAGGATAGATGTAAAGATTTATGGGTCACAACGTCCACTTACCACTTATTGTATATAAAAACAAGACTAACGAGGCAGTCCCTACAAAACTAACCATACGAAACAGCAATATAAAGCTGCAACGTGGCTCTATAAACATTTATTTAAGGTTACGCGAGTACGCCCTGTTTTTATCTCAGGAATATAATAATTATTTAACATTGGAATTGAATTTATAATTTTTTTAAACTTACTAATATCAAGGATAAGAAGCCTACATATCAAAATTCTTATCATGTAAGCTTTTGCCAAAAAACAATAATTAATAGGACCATCTCTAAACAGAGTGTAGACATCTGTTGAGCTAACTGTAGACTGTAGAAATGGCTTATTGTGTCGAGCGCGAGCACCTCATTGTTGTAATTGTAAGTGTTTACAGACCCCCATGTGCTACTTAAGAATATTTTAAAAAGGATTTTGGAAGAAGTTTTGCTCAAACTTAGTAAACAGAACAAGTCTGTTGTAATATGTGGAGACTTTATTAAATTTAGCTCATTATTTAAATCGCATAATCTTGTTAATTTATTTTTAGAAGCGACACGTATTGCTGGGCCTAGTGCGACCTGTATAGATAACATTTTTACAGATGTTAAGCCCTTGCATAAACTAATCATTCAAAACTTAAGTTCAGATCACTGTGGATAGTTGGTCTCATTGTCTTACATACACAAAAACAAAAATGAGAAAGTTGTGTTTGTTCCAACAAATGAACATCCTTCGGAGAGGTTTAGCAGTAACATATTAAAAGGACTTCCATCACTTTCATTTAAAAATGGTGCTGATTATTTGTATGGTTCATTATTTAAAATTATAACTTGTGAATTTAATAGATTATTTACTTCTAAAACTTTCCCTATAAACAATCGCAAATCATTTAATGAATGGGCGATAGTAGGAATTTATAAAAGTAGACGAAAGTTATACGAGTTTTATAATGCAATATATAATCATAGTGTTATATTTAGAGAGTAGTAAAAACACCATAAAATTTAAAAAAAAGTATGCTCCACAGCTATGGCTTTACATTTAAGCAACAAAATTAAAACTGCATCCGATAAAATTAAAATGGCATGGAGTATAATTAATAGCAAAACGGGAAGGTCAAATCACGGAACTCGGATTCAATTGAATATTAGGTAACAACTATTTAACCCAATCTGATCAAGAAGTTGCTATGGCTTTTGAGAAACATTTTACTGATGTTCCTTTTTTGACAACAAAATCATTAAATTTTTCTCCTACTGTCGCCGAATCATTGCTTAAACAAAACGTAAAGCCTTGTTCAAATATTTTTAAATTCCATAGAGTATTGAAAAAAAATATCGTTAAATATTTTAAAACTATTGATGTTAAGAAAACGCCAAACTTATGGAGGATTTCCGTTAAAGTTATTGCATCTATAATAGATGCTATAGCACCTTATCTACCCACAATTTTTAATACAAGCATAAAGAATCCGGTGTGTTTTCTGATCTAAGGAAACATAGTAAAGTCATACATTTATTTAAATCTGGTAGTACATTAGACCCCGCCAATTTTAGACCAATTGGTGTACTACCAACATTTAGTAAAAAAATTTAATTTTTTTTCAAATTGTTAAAAAATTATTTTAGATTATATGTTAAGTCTTTTTTTAATATAAGTAAATTGCTTCATAAAAATCAATTTGGTTTTACAAGGGGTCGCTCAACTACCGACGCCGGAGTCGAACTTATAAAACATATTTTTTGTGCATTGGAGAATTCGGAGGATGCTTTGGGTGTATTTTGTGACCTTTCCAAAGCCTTCGACTGTGTTCACCATGAGACATTAATCTCAGGAAGCTACAGTACTATGGTATCAGGAACACAGCGCTTAAACTTTTTATTTCATATTTAAGTAATAGAATGCAGAAAGTTATTATCAATGGCAAAGTTCTTCCGGGTCGTCCGTAAAAATGGGCGTCCCTCAGGGCTCATTTCTTGGCCTATTCCTATATTTAGTATATATTAATTACTTACCTTCTCTTGTAGGGGATATACATTATATAGTATGATTTGCTGATGATACTTCCTTAATTTTTAAACTTAAACGGCAATCATTTATATGTGACGAAGTGAATAATGCTATATCAAAATTAGTGCATAAGTTTAACGTTAATAATATGCATTTAAACGGCAACAAAACTAAACGTAACTAAAAGTAAAGTATTAAATTTACAGCAAAGAATGTTAAAAATCGGAATTCCAATGTGTTTCTAAATGGGAAAGAACTAAGCCCTGTTGAATCCTTTGTTTTTCTTGGCATTACTCTCGACGCAAAGCTTCAGTGGGGCCCCCATATATCCAAACTAGCAAGCAGACTAAGCTTTGCAGCTTATGCTGTAAAAAAAATTAGAGATCTCCCTAGTGTCGAGAGTTAGATTAGTTTATTTCAGTTATTTCCAATAGCATAACGTCATATGGGATTTTGCTATGAGGAAATACGGCTGATTTAGGGCCATAAGAGCTATTGTTTACAACCTTAAACCGAGAGAGTTTCTTAGAGAAAAATTTAAAGATAATTTCTTTAAATTTTTCTCTAAGAGACTATGAACTTTGGCCTCTCAGTATATTTACGAAAATTTAACGTTTGTTCACAAAAACAAAATTAGTTTTAGTAAAAAAATTGATACACACTCTGTAAACACTAGGAACAAACATAAGCTAGTGATACCGGTCTCTCGACTCCACAGAGTCAGTAATTCATTCTTCGGGCAATGTAACGCTATTACAACAAAGTCCCAGAAATATACAAGGTCTCTCTATTACCAAGTTTAAATATTTAATTAAACAAAAACTGTATAAAAAGGGTTATTATAATATAAATGAATACATGGTTGATAATAACAACTGGGAATGAGGTGATCTTCCTTCCAAGCCGTTTCTAAAATAAATTTTGTAAATAATTTCTAATCATTTATATTGTAAAATTTATTTTAAAAAGAAGTCCCGCTGCGTTTCTTGCTGGTTCTTTCCAGGCCAGAGGATTTTTTTTTGAACCAATGGTAAAGTAAAAAATTGACTTTCAATAAGAATTACTGGTAATCAATATTGAATAAAAATTATTCTATTCTATTCATCATATAGCTCCCCGTTTTGCCTAATAATAAAATACCCTAGGGATCTGATGGCACTCTGAGAATTTTTAAATTAGTTAAAATTGAAAATTATACTAAGTACTAAAAGAATTATGAATTTATTTAATTTTACTCCTTATAACAACTACTACTGCTGAGCATAGGCCTACCCAACGAAAATTACTCAAGAACCATTCTTCCTCATCGGTTGTCGGTTCTTTGAGCTTCATGACCGGATCATTGCCTTCCAATCAGTAATCCTTTGGGCTATATTTGTTACCTATTCGATTGTAAATATCTTCTCTAAGCCTGTCACGCAGAGAATTCAGACTTACAGCGCGCCTTGCTAGGAAGAATAGTACAAAAAACAAAGATTTTCTACCAAGTGGCGACTATCGCTGGTAAGGCTGCGAATATGAACGTAAGCATTTCCGTGACCCCTTATTCTCATCGAACTCATTAATGTACTACATTATTCATAATTATAATGTTATTTTAGTTGCTAAACGTAATACTATAACTATACGGTACCTTGGAATTAATAAAATTTATTTATCTCTCTCCTTGGAGCTAATAAAATTCGAATAATATTCATATTACTTACTGATCGATTCACAAGATATGCAATCCGCAGGGGAAACAAAGTCGTTGTCCACATTATGAGGTTGCGATCTCTCTATTAAACATTTATTATAGTATAACGGAGTCCAATCCCAAATTGGTAACAGCCTTATCAGTGTCATTCGGGCAATCGCTGCGGCGTGCCACTGGAATGTCTCCGTTTGGCTCACAGTATATCCAATTGCTATCACCATCACGAGGAATAGAAATGCGCGAGTCCATCTCTTAATAGATGCTTTTCTTACAGCCGTTGTTAGTGGACGGCAAATGATTTCCATTTCCTCGTCAGTCATCCCCGCCTCTTTACAATACTCATAAAACGAACGCACTTCTGAGTTAATAAACTCGAATTTTTCCTGTTGGGTCATTTTTGCCGCGTTTTTTAAGCTCATTTTTAAAGTGACCTACAATTAACACCACAACCACACCGCGATCGATATCAAACTTGCATTGCATTTAAGAAGGCTTATCGATAAACGAATTTCGCGCGCGCGCGTTAAAGGCTTTACTTATCTGACCATAGACACTAGGATTTAACAATGTAAGTTATAACATGCAGTAAAAGAAAAGTAACATGAAAATTTTGTGCATAAGCTTAAACGATAATTTATGTTCATGTTTTTAATTATACCGAAAAAATCCATTTTACTCAAATATTATGCTAAACATTACAGTAACAGTAAGAAATAATCCAAGTCAAGTCAATGAATACAAAATAATCTCAGTTGACGCAAAATTCAATATCCGTTCGTTATATTTACTTTATGAAATTATAAGAAGCATGTTAAATAATTTGTCATAAACATATAAGTTGCTTTTTATATATAAACATTATTTAATTATTTTTGCCAACACATCAAAAGCAAAGACTTCTCTCAATTATTTTGATATGGCAACATGATAGTCAAGTCAAGTCAAGTAACCTTTTCCGCCATATTGAAAGTTTATAAGTGGAAGTCGATCAAACACCAACCTTTTATGAGATTGGTATTTATTGTGAAAAAACAATAATTATTTAGGTAACCTAAAAATTACGACATTCATTTATTTGTTTGCTACGAGTGCTAGTGAAGTTGCTAACTACGTTTTGTAATTTTTGCAATTCTTTTGATGAATACGTCACAGCGCCATGTTGTATTCCTGCGCTGATTGCAGGCACGAGAAATCTGCCAACCCGTTTATTTTTTGGGATTAGTACCCGAGAATAAATCGAACTGCGATTTTGTACTCAAATATATTTCAGTTTATATTTGTCGGCAAATGTCAAACAACTTTATTGAATTCGATGCATCCCTGTTGTCGCATTTCGAGTGTTAACTCTTAATTTCAACTGCAGTTTAGTGCATCCGCGAAAGTTGAAAGGACTGTGTTGTAAAAGAAAGACGTGATAATTAGCCAAAATTCCGGTCCCCACGCGCAGACGAGAAGGTGCCTACCCGCCGGGGCAGTCGGGCGAAGGAGATATGAACAACAAACGCAAAAATCGCCAAGGGCCGCCGAGGTAAGATCTGTACACCAACTTCCAGCATTGATATGACATGTCTTTGTTGTTCGAATTAGACGTTGATCGCTTTGCGAATACTTGGTCTTCCCCTTCATATTGATAGATTTTAGAAGTATCGTGAGCGTGGGTTATAATAAAGAGTAAACAAAACGCTGGATAACAAGTACTGTGCGACGCGAAACACGCCGCCGTTGCGGTGCAAGAGCGACGAACGCGGTCGTCTTTAGATGTTTGCCCTACTTTAGCAGCGTACTCACTATCACGACTATCAGAATAGCTGCTTGTGATCAGCTGATCCCAGCGCCTGTGTGATTTGGACATTTTTATTGAAGTTAAATGTTGAGCGTGCATATTTCCAAAATCACCATCAATATCAATATTATTTGTAAAAATATGGATTATTCTGAAATTGCAGACAGATAATGTTCATTTATGCAAATTTTCAGCATATTATGCTTTGCCTTGCTACTATTTGTTACTATTTTTTGGCAAACCGCCAAAGGCCTTTTTTAAATTAATTTATTATAATATCCTTATTTTCTAATCAAATAGTTTTCTTGTATGCTTTTTGCTTTAGTACACAAAATATTTTTTAATGAGATTAGTACTATTTTATTGTTGTTTTTTCGTAGTATTACCATTGTAGTGTGATCTTAGATAAACTATAAATTTACATATAAATATGTTCATCTATTAAAAAGACTTCAGATGTGGAATTGCAAAGAAAATAACCAATGCATAGTATTATAAAATATACTGAGGTAAATACCACCTTTCACACTTTAAGTATGCAAGAATTTTTTTATGTTTTGTAAGTGTGTATAATGCTAGATCTTAATATACTAGACTGATACATTTATTCAGTCACTACAGCCTTTCAAAAGTCTATTGCTGAACATAGGCCTCCCCCACAGTTTGCCACTTAAGGGGGATATTTGTTATAGTTGTCAAGCTTAACAACTATGTTGTAAGAGTTGTTATCAGGAAGATGCTGCTGCCGACCTCCTGTTTCCTTTGCCTCTTTAGCTTCTTAAAACACTTACTGAATGATATAGGTTAGTGGATACAGAACAATTATTATAATGTTTTAACAACCACAGGAACACAAATATTTAACATAAGAGATTGCTTGACGAACACAGCTAGGAATTAAATATGTAATTGGTTGCTTAAGCTCAATTATGAATAAACAAGGATACTGCTCCAAACATTGTCTTGATAACTATATGCTCAATATCCCCAATATTGTCATAGTGATAATTCAGCATACCATAATATTAACATATTATGTAATGTGTATGTGTATAATATAAAGTTACAGCCTATTGTGGGAAGTCAGAATGTGTCCAAAAACGCATGTATGGCAATTCACAATGCTGTGTTAGTCCCTACTTAAATGTATGGTAATGAAAGTTGGGTGTGGCAAAAGAAGCATGGAGAAGTAGAATTGCAGTCATTAAGGAGTATTTTAGGGATGAATCTGAATGACAGGGGGAGAAATTGTTTGATAAGAGAAAAGTGTTGTTTGCAAGATGATGTGACCAAGATTAAGAAAGGAATGCTTCGGTGATTTGTTCATGTAGAAAGAATGAATGAGGAAAGAGTGACAAAGCAAATTTATGTTGCAGAGGTGAACGGCACAGTCCGGAAGGGACGCCCTAGGCGAAAGTCTATCAACCAAATTGGCGATATATTGAGTGTGTATGCGTATGTATATGGATGTGGAGGGAGCGAGAGAGGTGTGTCAGGATCGTGCCAAAAGGAAGTCCATAGTCTCTGCCTACCCCTCTGGGTGACAGGTGTGAGTGTTTATGTTATGTATGTATGTACAGCCTATAAATGTTCTACTGCTAGGCATACGCCTTCCCTCACTTCTGAAAGGGATTAAAACATACTTATGTATAAGATAAACAAAATGTTTTTCTCAATCTAATAAAAGTTACAACTTTCTTTAATTTATTTTTTAAAATTGTTATTTTAAATTTTTACATATTTCTATTCAAAGGCAATTATTTACAAAAGTGTCAAAAGAACTGGATTGTTGAATTGAAAAGAGTAAGTTATTGTAGAATTTTAATTAATTAATAATAATCGCTAACAGGTGAGTTAGTAGTAATAATCGCTAACAGGTAGAGTTAATTAAATTATGCATTCTTGTTAAATTCAATTGTTTACAAAAATGCCTGGTGTATTTTACAATATTAGACTTTTAAATTATAAATATTTAGGAGTGTTACTTTTACAATTTTTATATCAGTAAATTCCGTTAAGTTATGTGGGTTATACCTAAAAATACTTGCGAAAACTGTCAATTCACATTTGAACTCCATGTCAGACCCTTTTATTCTTTATAACAGTCTTAAAATGAGAGATCTTCTGTGTCTTGATACAGGTCTTTAAGTTGTTATAGTAAAATAGGATATAGAAAACATAACATATAGATAACTTAGCTGACTAAATTGGTTTCTTAGCTTATTAATAAGCTATGGAAATATCTCCCTAGGTTTAATAAGAATATAATAAATAATGAGAATTAGCTATTCTCATTTCATTCAAAATGCAACAATTCTACATTCCATATTTTGTATGTTAGTATTGTGATTTAATTAGCTGGTCAAAAATAACTTTCAGGTTAATTGAACATTCATTAATATCTGATTAAATAATTTAACTTCATATATTTAAATAAATTTATTAATAGTTTTTTTTTATAGGATAGGGTTACAAACGAGCATACAGTCCACCTGATGGTAAGTGGTTGCTGTGGCCCATAGCCATCTACATCTATCCTCGTTTGTGAATCAAAATGCAGATGTGTTGTCACCCGTGATGACTAAGGTGGAATGCCACTTTTCCAGTAAAAAGGGTCTCCGGTTCTCTACACTCACCATACAAAACACAGCAGTTATAAGCTGGTATTCTGTGAGAGTGTGGTTTTTCCCCGGTCAAGCCAACCCATTAGCTCCACAACTATACCACTAATATAGCTGCAGCATGACTACCACATGTCTATTATTATTATATATAAGAGTATGTTTTTATAAAAAAGAAACATAAACATTCGCTTCACCCAGAGGGGTAGGCAGAGACTACTGACTTTCATTTGACACGATCCTGACACACCTCTCTCGCCTACTTTACATCCATATATCTACACATACATGCTCGTCGGTTAAGGGTACTCTTAATCTGGCCCATTTTCAATATATCGCCAATTTGGTTAACAAACTTTCGCCTAGGGTGTCCCTTCCCGACTCTGCCGTTCACTTCTGCAACATAGATTTGCTTTGTCACTCTTTCCTCATTCATTCTTTCTACATGAACAATGACCATGTTTTCACTTCCATATATATGTAGTTAATGTAAAACGTCATAACATTGTGGCAATTTAGCTAATACTTATAATTATTTATAGAGTGAATACGTCTTTAGAATTGTTGTGATTTGAAACTTGTTGAAATGAAAAAGTGACACTAAAAAGAGTCAAACATATACATCGAGAGAGTAAGATTGAATACAGTATAGTGTTTCCTATTATCTTAGTATCCTTTTCTGAAAGTTACTTTTTCACACTCACTGTATAGATATAGCATAAAAAAGACTTGCAGAGTTTCCTGCTGGGTCAGTTAGTATAATTATTGGTCTTATAAAAATAATAAAACTAAATAAAAATATGAGACATATTATTTATATTTATACTTGTGTATTAGTATTTCCTAAGCTATTTTACTAATTAAACACTTACGGAATAAGAGTGAGAAATGAAATGAGCACACAGTCTACCTGATCATAAGTGGATGAAGTGTCCCATAGACATCTACATCTATCTTCAATTTAGAATCAAAATGCAGATGTGTTGTCACCCATGTAAACCAAGATGGAATGCCTCATTTCCGGTCAATAGAGTCTACAGTTTCTTACACTACACTCATCATAAGAAACACACTGCTATTTCACATTAATTTGTATTCTGTATGAGTGTAGTCCTTTCTTGGTCATGCTGATCCATTTATGCTACAAACATAAAGATTGGCAGCATGGCTTTATCACGTAAACATACTTTAGTATATAGTTCTTTCCAATCGGCTTTACTCACTGGCACTGCGTAGAGATGTTGCATCTCTTTGCGTGTTTTATCGCATTTAGCATGAGGAGTCCTCTGAGGAATTGTTCGGACTAATTCCAGCCGCTCAATTTCACCATCGCACATAGCGACAAAACTTGCGATACCATCCATACCACCTGGATGATTGGTGGTCCACCACTGTGTGATTTAGAAGATGTTTTCTTCCTCGCACAACTTCCTTGTAGAATCGATTACCACCAGCGATTTTTCTGGACCGATAAGACTTAGGGACCTTCAAGAAAAGACGAAACCTACTCCTTTTTAAAAGGCAGGCAACGCATCTGCAGTTCCCCTGGTGTTGCAGTTGTTCATGGGCGGCGGTAGTCACTTACCATCAGGTGAGCCACATGCTCATCTCCTATAAAAAAAATACTTTCATACTGACATTGACAAATACATCCAACATTAAGATGAAATAGAAGTAAGAAAGGGAGTGTTGTTTCACCAAACTGGTGTAGATTTGACTGTCATAACAAAGCCAATCAAATAAATAGGCTTTGACTTTGAGTTATTTTAAGAAGAACTGGAAATAATAATAGAGTAAGTGGAAACATATATAAATAAATGGTCCTATATTATAATCGATATGTAATCAAAGAATATTAGTAGAAAATCAGTGTAAACCATTGAGTTATATGTACTACGTACTAGAGAAGCCATTCAGAACATTGACTATGTTCAACTGTGAATTCCATAAGATAATTATTATTACATTTTATTTAGAAATATGTTTGTTTAGATTAAATTAAGATATTTTATATTAAATTCTTATATTTTTTTATATTAATATCTTAAGTTATATTAACATAAAGTCTTCGCGCATGCGCGGGTTTTTGTTTGGAATGGCTTCTCTAGTACGTAGTACATATAA